CCTTCAAAGGCATTGGAGAGAAATTGCACTTCCAAGTATTTGTAAACTCTCTTAAATTACCTATCATTGTCATCATCTTCACTCTAATCTCTTCAAGCATAGTAATAATTGTTTTGTGCCTTGCTGCCAATATTCATGCATTAAAACACTCAAACATGTTATTATCTACATAATCACATTTTACTCCAGTATTGAAGTAAACCTTACACCAGTACTCTATGTTGTAGTACATTAAGGCATCCATCATTTTTTTTTGGACCAAGACACTTCATCTTCTCTACATTGTTTCTTAATTGAGATTCAAAAATACTTTTGGCAATCCTCCAGAATTGTTGTCTTCTTTGGAGGCCTCTCCAATCCTTAGCCCAGTTAGCTAAGATGTGTCTAGCACACATTCTATGTTCTGCAGCAGGCAATAAATGTTGAATGGCTGCAGACAATCCCTATAAATATATGTAGTTATGTTATAATAACATATGCAACATTAAAACTAATAAATACAAATAAAAAATTTAAAAGTACACATATCTTTTGCATATCTGTAATCAAGGTGAGATCTTTACCATCTTCTAGTCCCAGATCAGTCTTTAATAGCTTGACAAATCATGTCCATGTATTTTTGTTCTTATACTCAACTAATGCCCAAGCTAGTGGCAACATCTGGTTATTACTATCCCTGGCAACAGCAACTAACAACTGCCCTTTGCAAACCCTTTTAAGGAAACAACCATCTAAACCTATGCATTTCCTACAATTCAAGAATGCTTTCTTCAATGAATCAAAACAAATATAAAAGAAGCTTCTAAATACAGGCCTACCAAGTGCATCAGGTTCATCAAGTTTAACAACACAAGTGGTTCCTGGATTGGTCCTTAGTAGTTCATCCTTGTAGTCAAGAATTCTTTCAAATTCAACAATATGATCACCCATAATATCTTTCAACACCTTAGCTCTTGCTCTCCTAACAGTAGTCTTGCCAACATGAACTTTAGGCTTCTTTAATTTGGTCTTGCAACTTCAAAACTCTTATACTTGGTTGCTCAAGGATTCTTTGTCTCAAGACTGTAGATATGTACTTTGCATTACACAAATAATTTCTGGTTGTTGAATTACAAATATGCTTTGGATTGTATGTCTTAATCATGAAATCATTTGTTGTGTTATCAAGACATGCATACAAAAGTCATGGACAACTATCCTTGCACCTAACTCTAACTCTTTTTGGCTCATTCACCCACTTCTCTACCTGAACTCTTCTTTGGACATCATATTTAGTTACTGCTCTTCTAAATTCATTCACATCTGAAAAGACCATACCCAACTGCCATACGACTTTCTTAGCAGTAGGGTCATGAACAATTTTCTTTTTTTTTTGTGCTTTTCCATCTTGTTATATTTACGCTTCTAGGTAAATTAACCCAACCAGAATCAGAATTGTCAGCATCGGAATTGTGTTCATCTTCATCACAACACTCATCTTTATCTATTTCAAAATTGTCAGCATCAGAACTTGGATAGTATGGCTCATCACCTCCTAACATTCCTTCAACACTTATTTTTCCTGTTTCAGTTTCATCAAAACCTAAATATGGTCCAGCTTCACCTATTGGTACCTCTTCAGTGTCAGCTTGTACTCTCTCATTTCTTTTTCTTCTTTGAAAAATCCTCTTTTCAGCCCTCAACTCCTTAACCTCCTCATGCACATCACTATCATAATATTCATCATCATCTCCAACTAATTCACCTTCAGTGTCAACACTCTCTTCAGTTGAGTAATCAGAACCATCTTCTTCCACTAAATCAGATCCAACTGGACCTACATCTATATCAGTAAGATCTACACTAACAGGATCTACAGTAGCTGGATCTGGATATGTACTAGCAGGATTTGTAGTGGAAGGATTTGTAGTATTGATTGGAGTTGAGGTAAATGATACTCTAGCAGCAGTAGCAACTGTAGTTTGAGGTGTTGTAAAAGGGTCCTCACTAGATAAAGTTTCATCACCAACCACAATGTTTGGACCACAATTTGGTTCAGCCCCTTTATTGAAAGTTGAACAAGATTCCTCCATATCCTCATGGCTAACATTTTCTAATAAAATAAGGCCGGGGTCTATAACTGCTTCATCAATCATATGTTTCACATATATCTCCACAATATCTCCATCTTCCAAAAAACAACATAGGTCTAAAATATCCATATCATTGTCTATATCTTTCAAAATGCCACTGTTAGGGGGTTTAATACTAAATGTGCAAGTTGTGGTGTATCTCAATTCTTTAATGTAGCCTCTTAATTCAAAATAGGACATCTTATCCACATCAACATCTAAAAAATTTGTAACTTGCCCACCCTTATATATTGGTTGTCCACTACTTAAATCTAACACCCCACCATGATACCATCTTAAGGTAACCAAAGTGAACCCACTCATCTCCTACCTGAATGGAATGAAAGAACAGAGAATATTTAAACTACACATTCTACACTAAACACACACAGAGTAGGTAAATATGAACATATCATCATTATAACAACGAAAATTGTAAACTTACTATGCCATAGTATCATATCATTACGAACATATATAACATTAAACGAGAAAGGAAACACTACATGGCTAACAATATGAAGATAATATGGTATAGATTGAACAATGGAATGCTATTATACCAAAACCCAGTTATTGCTCTTCATTTTTTTTGTCAATTTCATAACCCTAATCAAACACAATAATCAATATCATTCAAAATCGTTAGTAAAGAACTAAAAGAACTAACCTTTACTTAGAGAAAACTTCGACCCAACAAACGAAAAAAGCTAAACAAACCTTCCCCAACTTTCCCAGGAAAACTTCGATTGGAACAAAATCTCAGATCAAAGAGAATGGGGGTGAATTTGGTCCGATCGAAAAAAGGTTAGGGTTTAGAGAAAGAAAGAGGAAAATGAAAAGATTAAGGGAAATTCGTGGGTTCTGGGGTCCAGTTATTATGTGGCAGCGCGAGTAAACAAACATTTAATTATATCTTATTTATGTGGACATGTCAGCAAAGAAGGGTGAAATAATATGTAAAAAAAAATGTTCAGGGGGTAATAGGACCCCTGTAAAGTATGAGTGTATAGTTGGGAATCCGGCGATAGGTTGGGGGGGCTTTTGGCCATTTTCTCTTTTTGATTTGTATAATTCGCTACAAATATCCAATTTTATATAAATTGTTCAGTTTTGTAGAAATTCATTTATACATTGTAATTTGTATAATAAGATTTGTATTTGTATAATTATAAGTGTATATGACGAAAGTATATGTATTTGTATTTGTATTTGTATATACACTTTTCTCTTGTTTTATACAAATAAAAACGCATTTTATATTGAAATGTATAAAATGACTAATTGTACACCGAAAATGGCTAATTGTATATAGAATACGATGGCAAAAAAAAGAAATAATTGCTGCAAATTACAATTAAAATAAACTATAGGTATAACATATAATTTGAATTAATAGTTTGTTATTTCATATACTTTTTTCTAACTTAAAATGATTTAAAATGTGTCTATTATACAAATGAATATCCCAATGATTCAATCATGGCTCTATCTGACAAATGCCAACTGGTCATGTAGACCTTCAAGAACACCAAAATCGCTGCAAAGGCAGTGATTTCTAAAAAAAAAATTCACTACAGCGATTTTAATTTTTTTAAAAAAATATTTTGCCAAAAATGCTGCACGGGCAGCGATGTTCTTCAAAAAAAAATTGGACAAAATCGTTGTTAGTTCAGTGATTTTGATCTTTTAATGGAGTAACGGCGTGAAAACAAAATCGCTACGTCAGTAACGATTTTGCCCTTTTAGTTATAAAAAAAAATTGATGTGCCCTTTTGGATTTTTGTCAAATTTGTGCAACCCTTTAGGCTCTGGCTCCAGATTGTTGAGTCCCCTCCGAATTATCTTTAACTTAAACTTTGGAGTTGAATTTATTTAAGATTTTACCTTAAACATACTTCTAAGAAAGCTGAAAATAGGTACAATAACTTGGTCACAATTCTAATATAAAATTATCTGAACTTACAAATTGTAAAAACATATGAATATTAAATGGTTTTTAAAATTTGATCTTTTGTATTATGTCGCACTTTGCTCGATTTTTGCCTTTTCTTTTAGTATATAAATTTTCTTTCAGTATTAGTTTGTGAGCCTCTTTAGTGATAGATTGATCCGTAAAGACAAAACAGATTAGTCAAAGACATACAAAAAAAAAGTTATAGGATAAAGATTAGGAGATGTGATAGTCGTGTTGGAGTAGGTGTAAGTTTGGAATTAACTGGAATTTTGTAGTACTCACTCCCAAATTGTTGCTATCATTGAGGCCCACAGTCAGCGTAATTTGGGTCATAAGTTAGATTTTTATATTTTTGAAAAAAAAATGAATAGTTTAGATCTATTATTGACACTTTACACTTTATTTTATCAACATGAATGATGTTGTCTTATATTAATAGGGGTGGGCAGAGCATGGGTTAGAATTTCTGAAGTTGGCACAAGGATTCATTCAAACTCATTAGTTTTATTTCACGATTATTAAATTTAAAATCTAATTACCAACACTTGATGTACGTTTTAAAACTCATAAAGTTTAAATCCTAGATTCACTCCGACCCATATAAAATTGTGTAGCAAAAAACAAAAAGAAGTGGATAGCCTTTTAATAAAAGATTCTATACCAATATAGCGAACTAATCAAATTTATCATGTTGTCAATTCCATATACATTCTTAAATTTGAACCAAAAAGCTAGTAAATATTTTGGAACAAGAAATAGTAGGATTACTTATTAGTATTCACATTAAGTACACAACATCATCAGTTTCAACAACAGGACTGCAATTTCTATACACAAAAATGAGGCTTTTTCACGTATGAAAACCATATTCAAAACTATTCAAATAGGCTTCCAATTGCAAAAAGCCAAAAATTAGGCTTCTGGCCCACAATGACTACAGTCCAGCCCAGGCCTCTAGACAAAAGCTAAAGCCCAAAAATCAAATGTCACCAATTGACTTCTATGAAGCAGCAACCAAAAATTGTTGAATTTTTTCTCCAAATCTTTGTGATGACCAATTTAACTCATCACAATTCTCATCAACATTCCATAGTAATAAACCTTGTTTTTCCCTTTCATATTTCACCTTCTCCATATCCATTTTCTTTTGACTTACCATTTCCCAAAATAAATCATTTTTTCGTCGTATAAACAATTCATTCAACTTTTTCCTACATCCCTCTAGCTTTGACAAACACAATATCAACTCAGACAAATCAAGGTAACTCAATCTCGAAACTCGGCTCGATAACTCAACGAGTCGTATCAATATATGGTACTGCGTCGATCGATAATCCTCCGAAATTAATATCATAATTTCATGGACTAAGTCAATTTTTTGACAATATTGTGACTCGGGCGCTTCACATATTACTTCCACCAAACACACCAATGATTCCATTTCCGTAACGGAATTAGAAAAACTAATATTATTTCCCTTATGATTCTCAATTTTATCGAAATTTATCGATAATCTTGACGAAGGAGAAATATATGAACCCAATGTCCTAGACGTAATCATGTTACGTTCAAGGACATTAGCGTACCATCGTACCCACGACGATAGTTGTCGCGTTTCAACGTCGAATTTATCGTAAAACCCCGAAAGATTTAACGAATTATGGCCACCGGAGGATGGGAAAAAGGATACATGATCCTTGTATAATAGTGAACCTTTAGCCATAATGTTATGAAAAATGAATAGACATTTTAAGGCAACGTACGGATTTTGGGTACTATGAAGGCGGTCCATGATTGCGTCGATACATGCGTAAATGGCGGGGAGGGAGTGGTCACCGGCGGAGATGATGGCGGCGATGCGGTGGTTCCGTGGTGGAGATGTGGAGGCGTGTGTGGTGGCGCGTATAACGGTGACTTGGATTGATGAAACGCCGCGTTTTGTTGATAAGTTGGCTTTGAGAAGGGAAGCTTTGTCTTTGAAAATACCGATAATGTCCCTGAGTATTCTTTTTTTGCTCATAGTTTTGGAGGTTTTTTGCCCCCTTTTTCAGGGGGGTTTTAGAGATAGGAAAAATGAAATTTTGTGGAAGAAATAGAGAAATGAATTAAGAAGATGGAAAAAAGTGTGTATAAGACGTGTATATATAACAGCTTCTTGAAACGTTGTGAATTGCTTTAATTTGAAGTTTCAAAATTGTCGACACATATCCGTGTTTGAAATTTGAATTAATATATAGTAAGAAAGTGACATATGACTTTTTTTATTTATTTAATTAATTATGAAAAGGTTGAATAGTTCAAAAGGACAAATAAAGATATCAAACCAACAAAACGTATAAATTATTAGAATATTTTAAACTTATACTCCCTCATACTTTTTTTTTGGTTTGTCGAAAAAAAGAATATATTTAATACTTAATACGTTTTCTCAATTTTAACATATTTAATGATAACTTTAACACCAAAAGATTTAATAAATCACCATGCACATCTTTCATTTATGATTATAAAATTCAAAAAGTCTCACTTTATTTTTTAAATTTCGCGTTCAGTCAAATTAAGATAATTAAGTTGATCAAATGTAGGAATATTATTTCTAAGCGATGTTGGCCTAATGTATACGTGTAAACTTATTTTTTAAAGATAAAATATCATTTGAACATTCATACATTGATGAGAAGATAAAAGAATATTTCAATTAAAACTAGTAGTAATAAGTTTTTCTCAAGTGTCACTTAATTATTAGTTTTTTTTTTTTTCAAAAGAAGGATAATTAAATGTGGTTGTACTAAAATAATGCGAAGTGAGAAATTGACAAATGGATATGAGCAAGTGGACTAGAAAAAGATAGGCAAGGAAAAGGTCAGAAATACATAGGCAATGACTTTGTGTTTGGTAATAGGAATTTTGTGTGTGTACCTCTTATTATTAGCTTAATAAGGAGCCACCTTGACCTTACTAATTGTTGAAATACTTTGTCATACAAAATGGCCCCATATGACAAGTGACAAGGTCCACTCTTTTGCATTGAAAAACTAGAAATCATGTTTCATGTTCCATTTAGATGCTACGACTTCGAAATATATAAGAAACTTGATGAAAATTGCAAAACGAATTACTCTTTCAATAAGTTAAGTTTACCTTTGTTGTTGTAAATGTAAAACTTCATCAAATAAGAATATAAACTTTAATTTATAGTCTTACTGATAAATCTGATTAAATTATAGTATCCAAATAAATTAGCGAGAGACTCATGAAAAAAAAATGTTATCATACTTCTCTATCAGGCAAAAACCTCAAGGAAATTAAAGGATTTGTTGGTGCAAGACCTAAGTAAAAGCTCCAAGTAAACTAACCTAAATAGTAGGTCCAACTCAAACCCCATGCGACAAACCTAATATAAAGGGATCTCAACTCAAAATGTGGTGTCAAAAATGACTCCAACTCATTCGTTAACTCCAACTTTATAAAAGGATTGCACAACTAGTTTTATTTAAATTTAACTTCATTCATCAACTTAGTAAATTGTGCATCATCCATCGTGGTACATTAATTCTAAGTTCTACAAAGGAAATCTCAAATTAAAATATTTAAAGTTTTTGCAGACTTGATGTGATGGACACTTTGCTTGTTGCTAAAGTATCATTATAATCACTTTTATGAATAAGGCCAAGAAAAAGAACAATAACCAAATTGATTAGTATGATTAGCAGGTGGTTCGTAGTAATAATTCATTGTCCCTTATGCATCAATTCGCAGGAATTCTGATCCTAAACAATTTAAATTTCTACATTTCTATTCTTTTCCTCTGTCATTAAAATTGAAATGATCACAAGATAATATCATGAAAAAATATATATTGAATTTGAGTATATACAAAATTAGTGTAACAAAATTAACGTTAAAAAAGAATATCATACAAGTATCTCAATTACTTGAACTACCTAACCTAAGTTTATCAAACGATCGTTCACCACTACTATTTTTCTCAAAGATGCGATCAAATGGCGACTTAATAGACTTGAATAAATTCTTTGAAACCACCGTTATATCATCTCCAGCTCCGTTACCATCCTTAGAAGACCGGGTTGAACCGCCTCTCGAAAAGAAAGGTGGAACCGTTGTAAACCCCCACCGGCCTTCCTCATTAAACCGCTCATAATTTTCATGATTAATACGTGTTGAACCGGTTCCCACGCTACTACTTCTGTACCCTTTTGGCATACTTCTTTCACTTGGAAATAACGAGTTGGTTTGTGCTCGACTCGAACCCGAATTAATCAATTTCTCTCGAACCTCCTCTGGTAACCTCAACGTAAATCGCTCGCGATCTTCACCGGGTCGAACCAGTGAGTGACCCGTCGAGTGAGACCTTGGAAATTTTCCAGTAATTTTCGAATTTGCCCTTGGTGGACGATTATGTACAGGTGTTTGTGCAATATTTATCACTTCAGGTGAAGCGATATTGTTGATATCTATATTTACCTCATGGACCGAGTTACCGAATTCCGGGTCAGGTGACCCGGAATTCGAATAGTAACCCGGCGTGGCGATTTTTTCGAAATCCCTGGGGTCAGGGAGTAAATTGGCACGACAAACAGGGCAGTTAATATGAGAAAATAACCAAGCGTCGATGCAATTTGGATGAAAAACGTGAGAGCATTTAGGAAGAAGTCGAAGAGTTTCAACATCTTCGAATTCATTTAAGCAAATCGCACATTCTAACGCTGATTTCCCAATTTTGTGGTCTTTAACATCAGAGTAATAAAACATAGGGAAAGAGGTAATTACTACTGGGTCTAGTCCATGCGATCGAGCGCCGCGTCGTCCAGAATCTTCGTCTGCAAATTCGAAGTCGCTGGCGAAGCGGCGGTCGGCGCATTGACGGACGTAGACTGAAACAATTCCCATAGCGAAGAAGACACTGATAAGTGTAACTAAAATGATAGCTGTAGGTGGATTGATTTTTATTTTCGTATCGAATGAAAATGGTGGCGGTGATGGTGGTGATGGTGTTATTTCTGATTGCGATATAACACGCATCACGAGAAGGAAAAAACAGAGGAAAATCACGCAGAAGCCATGGCTTAGCTCGATTATCATCTTCATTAGAAAAAAAAAATTAATCAAATGAATGATCGACAAGTAATTGTCATTTGATTTCGATATGTTATAAGTTAAGTGCCAGACGTGGATCGAAGATATATAAATAAATAAATATATATATATATATATATATATATATATATATATATACAAGTAGGGGCATTTTAGTTAAGGACGTGGGGTTGGAAGGTTTCGTTTGTTTTAAGGGACATAGAGACAATTATGATTTCTTTTGACTAGTTGAGTGAGTTGGTGGCCGGAATGCGATTAAAGGCTCAAAAAAAATTACGTTGTATATATAAATACAGAATTAATCCCTTTGTTGCAGCAAAAATTAAGAATGAAGGTGATTTTGCTATACTTGTTTATAGTTGAAAATTCCAATTCGATAGCCTTTTTTGTGTATATTGTGTATGTTCCTCTTACCTTTATTCATATTTTTTATATGTATAATTTTATTTTATTTTTAAATGGGAGTTATGATTTTGCTACTGATTAAGGGTGAAATAAACTCTACTGATTTTTTATCCTACAATAGAAGAGTTAATCATTTGTGGTCTTGACAAAGGAAGGGAATAATTGGTTCGTGGCATTCATGTTTCCTACTAATTAGGTGGAACTAATCATTAAACGATTCAAAGATTTAAAAAGATTTTTCAATTTGTTTATTTTAGTCAAGTATTTGGGGGCAACTCAATCATTTTTCCTAAGAAATTACTTTAAGGGTTGTTTGGTAAGTGAGATGGGATAAGTAAGGATATCTTATAAGATTATTTCATTAATCCCATCGTTTTAATACAAATTGTATGATAATATAATCCTGAGATTACCTAATATTTGATCAACTCAAACATGGAATAAAGTTAATCTCAAATTTCATCTTGAAATTATTATACGTACCAGATACTTATAGTTTGACACAATTTATTTGAAGACCAATTCAACAAATCTTGGTAATATAAGATTAGATATTGTAATTCAATGGTAATAGATGGGAAAACGCCTTCAACCATATACTTTAAGTTACAAGAATCAAAACATAAGTGACAAATTAATTAGATGATTAAAACAAAGTTATATAAAGAACTTGTCTATTGACTAATTTAATCTCCCTTCTTTTGTGGCCAAAGATAAAAGGAAAAAAACAAATGAGATATATCGTCACTTAAAAATTCTCTCTAGGAGAAGAATTTTAATGAAAACACGACCTAAGATTAATTACACCCTGGGGCTGGGTGTCAGTTTATATGACTCATTTTCTTGTTTAATCATTGTCAAAAATAATGAAATAATTTATAGTGATATAAATATCTATGACTTATTTTAGATTAAAGAAAAGTAAAAATTATCTTATTTTCTTTCTTAATTTTGGTTTCAAATCAAATTATATCACATAAATTATGAGATTAGATTCAAAACTGTTGGTGTAAAATTTGGCAAGAAAACTTTCACTGGTCAAGGTAACAATGTTTGAAAAAACTGCTCTTGGCAGCTACGCTAGCTATGTTTTCAGCTGTAATTGACAAAAGAAATGGATAATAATTGCTGATTAAATTATTATCTGGTGCCAATACCTTTTTATCCCGACTAATTCAGATTTAATATTATGTAGGATCTATGTATGGAGGAAATGCGTTTTCTATTAGGAATTTCTTTTCTATTCAGACCTTGAATCCCGCACCTCCGGCTAGTTAAGAATTGAGATATCTCACTTATCCTATATCGATCGGCTGGTGGTCCAATAATTTTTTTTATTACAAAAATAACTACTCTTTACTAAATTAAGGAATTATTTTCACCAAATCATCGTGTGCCACTACATTTTAATTTATCCCGACTAATATAGATTTAACACCATGTAGGGTCTATATATGGAGGAAATGCGCTTCCTACTATATTTTTTTTCAATCTAGAACTCAAACGTGCATTTCCTAATTAAGAATTGAGATATCTCACTCATCCTATCATAATCGTTGGTGGTCCAATAAACACCTTTGATTACGACAATAACTACCCTTTACTAAATTAAGGAATTATTTTCACCAAAATCATTGAATATAAGCTTGCTTATTGAGTAAGTACTATCCTTTTATCTTTTACATCGGACTTGTAATATATTGATGTTAACATAGATTACTTCAAGTCCTTTCCCTTCTTTAAGTTAGCATATAAATTACAAAATAGAATTCTAATCATGAAATGCTGATGTCTTATGATGAATAATGACGTCTAAATTAATCTAATCATTGTTAAGTAACTGAATAACCATTTAAACCATATTTATTTAATCTCCGTATTAAGTAAAACCATTAACATATAATCATCGAATTGATTCACTTGCTAGCTTTCTGCAAGTTAATTAGCGTTAACCGTGTCTGTTTCTATGATGAATAAGTGGAAATTAATCAAATGATTGTTAAGTACTAATCACTTGTTATTCTAGTTGTACTTCAAGTATTATGGTGTTATAATTTTGCAAACCAAGAAAATGTGATCTTGTTAGAAATATTTTAAGTAAAAAATGGGATACCTTTTTTCAATCAACGGAAAAGGATCAAAATTGCCCCTGAACTATGCAAAATAGACCACTTATACCCTCTATTACATTTTGGGATCAAAAATACCCCCGCAGTTATCCCAGGAGACCACAAATACCCTCAAGAGTTAACACCCCAATTTTTTAGTGACGTGGCAAGCCACATGAGACTAATCCCTCCACCTAAGCATTGCCAACTAAGATTCACTACAAAAGAACTTGACTTTTGGTGGCGACAAAGTCGCCACAAAATCCCAAAATATTGCCACTAAAGGTTATGAGTGATTTTTAGTGGCGACTAAGGCTCCAACAACCATTCGCTAGTAAAACCTATTTTTTCAACAAAATAATATGATAATTAATTTTCGATTGCGACCTAATTTTCTAAAATAAATAACTTGCAATGTCCATATTAAAAACATCCAATATTATTACGAAAAATAATCAAAATTACTTCTCGATTCAAATCTCATACTATATATATATATATATATATATATATATATATATATATATATATATATAATGCATCATTGTACATTTTATACATTTACATATGACATAAAAATAAAACATATAGTGTCTTCAAACTCCTACTTAATCGATATCATATTTGGTATTTTAAAAACAATGAAGAAAAAAACACAAAATTAGAATTTAATGTTAAAAACTTTTAGTGACGATTTTCTGGGCTTTTGTGGCAACTGTTGTTGCCGCTAAAGGTCTAGTTCTTTTGTAGTGAATCCTAGTTGGCAACGCTTAGGTGGAAGGATTAGTTCCACGTGGCTTGCCCTGTCAACAAAAATTTGGGGTGTTAACTCTTGAGGGTATTTGTGGTCTCTTAGGATAACAGCAGGGGCATTTTTGATCCCAAAATGTAACGAAGGATATAAATGGTCTATTTCATATAGTTTGGGGACAATTTTAACCCTTTTCCGTTCAATCAAAATAGTAAGAGTGATGACAGGGTAAATCATGATTTTTCTTATATAACACATCATTAATTGTTGAGCCTGTCATACTTTTAATTATTGGATCAGTAGCTAAGTATATTGTAAGTTCAAGATATATTGGGCACATTAATCAAAATGACAATTCAGTGAAATTTGATTAATTCTTAATTAACTCCAATTACATATATGGATTCAAAGTGAAATCCTACATCACTTGGGATTTTACCATGTAATTGGATTTCATAAAATGAAATGAATCCACTTTATTTAAAGCCCAAGTCCCATGTTTGCTTAGTCCTATAAAGCTTTAATACTTGCAATTGTAAATGATCAAAAAGTCTTAAGTACTCCTTCGTCTTTAATCAAAGGTCTCGGGTTCGATCTTCTTGAGTATGGAGTCGCTTTTGTTAGGGAACGTTTTACCTACGTGACATTCCAATGCGAATTCGAATTAAGTTGGGCTTCAACACAAGTGCCGTATATCATGTGGAAAACCAAAAAGAGAAGAGGATAAGTGTACTTTAATTGGGCATAAAGTTTAAGAAACGTAAAAAAAAAATTAAAAAAATTGTGGTCTTAAATATAAGTTATAGAAATACATATGTTATTATTAATCATCTCGTTAAGGTACAAATAAAAAGTAAAAATTTAAATTATTTCAAAATATAGGTATGTATTTTCTTTTACAAAAATTGAAACTTATGGAGTATATTTTTTTGTTATATTAAAGCTACCAAGAAAAATTCTTGAGTATCATCTATTCCCTGGTTCATGGTTTTTCATCATCCAAGGATGGATATACTTGAGTATTGAAATGGACAGCAAAACCTGTGATCTGTGAAAGAATCTGAGCGTCCAACCCAAAACGTTAAGTCAATGGGTGGGGTGGATGGGACTGGTCCACGAGCTAAAATATTTCTATGAAGATTCTACCTCTTACAGACCAACTATTCTTTCTGCACCAAGTTTCAGGCCAAGATCACAACGCTACCCAATAGAATGTCAAGTTTCACAATGTATCATCAGAAAACATTAAGGCAATAGAATTATTTTTTCCTTAAATGATGGATATACTTGTTCAAGCCTTAGCTTAAATTCCATGGTTCATGCTTTTTCATCATCCATTGCCTCTGCCTGAGGTCCATTTACCTCGTCTGCAACAATTATAACATGTATGTCATTAGAATTAATGGGTTTTTGTTCTTTTACACGATGATCAATACAAAAAGATGGAATTAACATCATGATCTACGCTAACAACTAATCATAATAGGTATCTGAAATGCTTCTTTGACTTTTTTGGACAGGCTACACATACCAAGGATACAATTCCTGATTTACCTCTGCATGTAAATTTGAAATTTTTGCCTGAGTTGTTTCATTGCTTGCTCAAAATTCTTGCCGATGTGTTTGCTTGAGTTGCTCTGTTTCCAATCTAACATATTTTATTCCGTCCCAATATTTTTTTTTCCCTGATAGACCATACAGGTGATTGAGGATCCTGCCAACTAAAC